AATGCTCTTAGACATCACTTGCAAGAAAGGTAAATCTGAACGATTATAAAAGAGTGCATGAGTAAGGGCATGGCGAGATGGAAGCTTGGTCTACCTGAAGTTGGGACTGGGTTGTGGCTTGCTGACGCTCAATACTAGGCCATAAACGGCCAACCAAGCCACTTTGACCACTTATTCTCTTCATCTACCCCCGGAAGACACTGCTTGTCACTGTCAGACTGCTTTTGATTGTCCTATATTAAATTATCCCTGAGGACCTACTGTGTTATTCCACTGAGCAAACTCAAACCAAAGTTGTCTGTTATACTGGTCTGGTGGTAAGAATCGATTTTACGAATACGCAAAAATGCGATCGTAAGGAACGAACTCTGGGGAATAAAGAATAAGGCAGCGGTGTAAGACGTTACGTTGTTTACGTAATTTACACATGCATTATAAAAGGGCATACCAATCACATTTGGTGGTGTAAATAGACAGAAAACTAGGTGAAAACACGGAAGTCAAATATACTCGCCAGTGACTGGGAGGCAACAGATTGTTGAAAGTCAAAACCAATTGTCAAAACCATAAATCCTATCACCGAGCCACACTTTAAACCGTAAACTAAGACATTAGGCGCTAATCTTAAGCCGTAACCATAAATAGCACCAATAAACCCTAAACATAAGCCGAAACCCCAATCGCAAACCTTAAACACACATCGCAAGCCCTAACCAAAGGCCATAAAACTAACCTCTTGGCCCTTGGCTTTAACCATAAACCTAGACTCTAATATTAGGCTCTAGCCCGATTTCAAAACTCTAAGTCGTAACACAAAACATCAATACTGCTGCATGGTACAGCTACGACGGCTTCAGCTCACCAATGAGTCCCTCAGCATTCCCGATGTGTTTTCGGGCATAAAATCAAGCAGATGCTTCAAGTAAGCGATCACTTTCAGAGGAACTTAAAAAGTACAAAACGGAAGTATCTACCCGAAAGCACACGGGTAATGCTATAGGAGGCATTGATTAGTGAAGCCGTCGCAGCTCCGCCATGCAGCGGTAGAATATTGGCGAGACATGTGTGCCATGTACAGGCAGAATATCGGTGAAACACACACTCGACTTTAAGCTGGTACCTGTGCCTGTAGTATTGCAAATAAATCTGTAGGTTAGGTCTTTCTCCTGACGTGGATTTACATGGACGGTTAGAAAGGTTCTTTCGGTGGATGTCAGTATGCTATCACGTCTCGGGTAAACGGCAGAGTAAATTTCGTATTCCATACAGGTCATGAAGCCTGATGCACAGAACGTCACACAGTTTGCATTTCAGAAAAGCTCTCTATTTCCTTGTTCCCTATTTTTTACTAATCCTTAAGACGTGTTATGCACAAAATGAACCGTCGCCACGCTTCACCTGGTTCCTCCTCTGTAATTAACTAGGCCTGGCAATTTGCCAGTAATTTTACCGAAGATGCAGTCGTGCTTAATTGTTCGTCCAATTAGGTGGTCGCGTCAGGCACAGGGATTCTTTGATGCTAGTAGCAAGCTGCCTGTAAAGGTAGTCATGTTCATTTTAGCGAACAAAATAACTCGGTTTGTTTGAATGAAGAAAAGTCTCCTTAACCTATGAGCGGAGCGAAAACATTTGAAGCGGTATCTTTGCTTTTTTCAGACAGATAATATTTTGCGGAGTGTAAAATGTGCATGGAAAACTTTAACTAAAACCTACATTCATTTAATTCATAGCATTTATTAATAACTGACACAAATAAAATACTGCTTAACTTTCTTAGTCCAAAACAAGAACGGTTTGATTTTTTCTTTTTGGTTTGAACTTGAAACTATCGAAAACACCACGACAGTTGGAAGAATGGTGTATTGCCCATCAAAAGTGCCCAAAAAGATCAAAGAAGGCAAATTCAACCAATATAACTACCTCAATCATCTCATCTTCAACAAGACGGTTCTTCCGAACGAAGGTCTGTAGATCCACCTTTGTAATGACGCCATCATCGTTTACGTCTATTTCCGAGAAGGCACGCCTAAACGGTTCCACGTGACCCTCCATGCTTCGTAGAGTATGTTTTTCCCGGTAGAAGCTCCTTGTACTTTCCCATGACTCCATGGTTCCCATTTGAGCCGTCTGCGTACACTCGGGCGATCAAACGTGTGAATAAGCAGTCTTCAGACTTGATATACACCTATGAGCGGACACAAGCGGTCGCATGCAGTTGGTTCGGCCCATCCGCGTTTGACCTCACGCAGGGTGTCCTCATATACAT